CGATACTCAGTATTCGATACTGATACTAAACTTTCTTTTTGAAGCACTGACCCAGTTCAGTGAGCGGTGAAGCACCAGACATTCTCTTCGGCGCGATGAATTCGATCCGTCGAGAGGGCGAAAGATGCATCCACGCGAGGTCAGACTAGTTGCGAATCGGTGCCAGAGACGGGCATGGACACTAAGACTCCGCCGATCCCGTTGAAGGTCCAGGAGAAGCCGAAACCGAAACCGAGACAGCAGGAAACCGTGGCCGACGTGTCCTTGCCCCCACTGACACCGTACAGGAATCATCGTCCGAAGCAGAAAATCCCCGGGACTCAGTGGTCGCGTGATGCACCTACCGCCATACGGTATCAGGATCAGCAGAAAAAAAGGCCTTACAGGTACACTTGCCTCCCTCCCCCTTCGATCGATATGCATTTCTTCGCGCGTTGTTTAGAGCGGGTTTCTCTGCTCTTACTCGCGAATATACGAATTTTACGAAACACGTGAATACAATATGAAATACTTGGTATTTTATCTTAATCCCCGTGTACTGGTCAACAAATTGTTGTATTACTAATCTTTGAATTACACTTGGATGAAACTGAAATCGAATGAAGGAAATATATACTTACATGTTGATTGATCGTTATGTATTTAAGCTAGTGGTATTCAACTAATTTACAAGTTTCCCCGGCAATCAACAGAATTAAATATTGAAGTCTGAGTTTGAGAGAAATTGACTGGAATAGTGCACAGGGGGTTAAATTTGATGAAAACGATCTCAATTTCACTGTCTGATTTCAAGTTTAATTAATTCAGCGATGTGAATGAGCATTTCACTATTGTTTGTAAAGATGTTGGTAATATTCCGATGGTGTAAATATTTTTGCGGTAAAAATTTACACCGAGAAGACTTAAATTCTTGTTGCCTCACAGAAAAAAGTTAAATGCTGAATATCGTTTGAAACTGAATATCGTTGATGGAAGTATCGTATGATGTTAGAAAACAGTGAAACGTGTTTAAAATTTGTAGACGTAAATATTAGCCCTTGCATAACGATGGCTGGGTCATTTCGTTCAGTATGCTTCGATGTTTTGAGGAATGAGGATGTCTGACGAATGAACAAAAATTAATTTTTACAAAAATTCAAATGTTATATTATTTGTTACAAATTCTTGTAAATGAATAAAACATTTTATATAATAATATTTTTATACAGTATATATAGTATCTAGTATGGGTCACGTGTGACCCGGCCATAGGCTTTCACGTCCGTCATACAAGGGTTGAATAGAGTACAAGAAACGGATTTCTTGTTGATAACCCCAAGTACATAATTCCAAAACTTTGAAACACAGTAATATTGATAATAAACTAAGAAAAACAATTTCAAATACTACCTACTTCTTTGCTAATCTTAAATGCTTTGCGAAAGAATGAAACTTCAATCGATATTGCGTGTCTGCGATTACATAGTATCATATAATATCTATCATGTTCCATAAACAAATTACCCACCGTATTGCACAACACAATCCAAAATTACGATCAAACTTTTTACCCGTATCTTATACTTCAGAACTAGGACGACCATTTTAAGTTATAGCATAATTACTTTCCAAGCACTTTTCACCCCCTCGATCGCTATATTTAGACACTCTGCTATTGTAAAAAGCTTCGAATGGAATCGAAATCACATTGAAAAAGAAGCAAAGCTCCCGAGATGCAAAGGACTTCTTAACTCTTCCAGAGTGCTGCAAATCGGCGCAACGCCGTTGATGCATGCTTGCCAACAGGGTGACAGATCGAGGGTTCTAAGATTATTGAAAGACCAAGAGGAGACGATCGGCTACAGGGATCGGACGCTGAGGAGCGCTCTGCATTATTGCATGGACGCTGGAACCGGAGGTGCCGTCGCCGCGGCGGCACCGGAACTGGTAAACGCGCACGACGCTGAGGGACACACACCCCTTCATTTGGCAGTTATCGCCGGTGACACACAATTGGTGGCCGTTCTGCTGGCGAACGGCGCTGACGTGAACGCCAAGGACTTGGAGGGACACAGTGTTCTTCACTGGGCTACCGGTACCACCTTTTGAAAACGTTTTTATTTTATTAGAAATTTCGAACGCGAAATCAGAAAAGTGAAACATCCTTGAATTTTCTATGAAAGTATAACTCTTAACCAGTCATGCATGACAATGGATCGATTTTTGCTTCAAAGTTGAATAACTCAGACAAAAAGAATCGCACAGCAATCGATGAACACTTATATTACACAGGGAGGTAGTGGCTTTCGAATGGCATGAATGTAATTTGTCTAAAAAATTTTGTTCATTTCATGTAACACTGCAAAGTAGAACGAAATTTATGCATTCATAGCCTATAGGGCTTGCAGTGAATTACTAAAAGGTTGCAATGTATTCAATATACTATGTAGCAAGAGAAAATAAGTTTTTTTAACCGTTGTTGCATTTCTGTATAAATAATGAAAATAGAAATTATTTTCTACTTTTTAGCGCATTTCGAAGTCGGTCCACATTTCTCGATCACAAAACTAAGAAAAACGCTCGACTCGACTCGAGCAATCAAATCGAGTCATAGCTTAACTTGTAAATTACGGTTACTCGCACATCCCTACTACCGTTGTTTACATTCATAATTTATTTCTTAATAGTTTTAAATTATGGTAATAATTTGTAACTTACATCTTACTGTCCCTTAACTATCAGTGTACATCCAATTATTATAGATAAGAAATATCCTTTTGCACAAGTACAAATAAATAATCATGATCAAACCGATGAGCTACGTGGCACTTCAATATAGCGTAGGCACCAGACAGATTTTCCAATTCCATTTTGTTGAAAAGGAATGCTACATTCTCAATTCGTTTATACAGTGTGTTCTCTTTAACGGTCCGTACAATTTTTTGACCATTCGCAGTAATGTCTCCAAGAAAAAGTTGCGAATCAGCATTTATCCGTAAGAAGTCCGTAACTTTATGTCGCCCTCTTGATATATGCAGATTAATTCCTGTTAATTACTCTTTTTCGTCAGTTTGTCGTAAATGATTGTTACCGTCGTACCATGTAGTATGTATGTATAATAAAACACGTGACTGCACTATTAACGGCATCACAAAATGCACAAGTACCACCCAGGCGTAAAAGTAGCAATTTTACGGTCGAACATGATCGAGATTATTGCAGCTCTATGGAAATAAGTAAAAAAGAACCAGCGTATATTAAAGTTCCCACGCAAATTGACTGTACATTGGTCGAAGGTCAAATTGCTAACAGTCGAGCGGTAACGATTCTTTAGAAGCTGCGGAAACTGTGAATTACACAGCGTATCTTTTCCACCGATCGCCGGACGAAATGTTGGGGAGTATTGGTCAAGTAAGGTTAGTGGGTCAGTTTGGGTGACGTCATTCCGGTTCGCCAAGGAACACGCGAGACCTATGCCAAGATAGTCCACGAGATTGACCATAGTCGTCCTTGATGTATTCAAATGACCGAAGATTTATTGCGGCACACAGCAATTGCCCACCCTTACGTCTCGTTTGACGGTTTTACGGTGAAAAGAAAGTTCGTATCGGGCGGCTGCATCTGCTATAATTCCCGGGGCGACTCGCGCGATAACAGAAACAATTCGAGGGACGGGAAGACGGGGAACTCCTTTAGGAAACAGAGATATTTATTCGAATAATATTGGGTCAGTGGAAAATTTGTGATTGCTTTTGCTCTAAAATAATAGACATATACAAAATTTAATAATAATTTCACCCTCATCAATCTCTCATTTTCGAAAATTAATTTTTCCTGCGGTGAGACAGAAACAATTCGAGGGACGGGAAGACGGGGAACTCTTAGGAAACAGAGATATTTATTCGAATAATATTGGGTCAGTGGAAAATTTGTGATTGGTTTTGCTCTAAAATAATAGACATATACAAAATTTAATAATAATTTCACCCTCATCCATCTCTCATTTTCCAAACTTAATTTTTCCTGCGGTGTCAAATTGATATAGTGGTAAAAAAACTTAATGTAACGAAGAGACACATAATTAAGTTTACAAATGCTTTAAAATAAAAGTCACATAACCTCAGTTAAATTTACTTATACATGACAGAATAACATCATTTGTCAGGAAAAAAATGTGTTAAATTGACACAAGGGAAGGATCAGGGTTAATGAAATACATAATTAATCTTTTATAACATATATATTTTCAGAAGAAATTTGTCTTCTAATAAACATATTTCTGGAATATTATTATTCGATAAATTTGTGTAATTAAATTATATTGATATATTTGCAGTTTACCATAGCATAGGATTGACATAACAGCTTTTCCAAACAAATACAAGTGTCTTTTGCGATGTATGAAACGTTTTTTCTTTGATTTTTAAATTTCTTTTCTGGAGCTCAATTTAAATTTTATTTTAATCAACAATACACACTCATACGCGTGAAATTTTCTTCTAAACAACAATTCACTGTATTACACTGACACCGATATCTAATATACTCGTATTAGCATACTGTTTATTGTTTCCATAAAATCATGGCGATCACATGATCTACAGTAAAATCCATCAAAACGTTTAGGTATACTGAATCAATACATAGTGGAAAGCAACAGTATCTAAGAGCGGTATTCTGTCCTTTAAAGAATGAATGAGATTAAAAATTGTTTATCAAATGTCTGCTCATTCATAAATAAATATGATTTTCTTATAGAAATTCAAATTTCCACATTTAACCGATTAAAAATGGCGAAGTACTTCTTTTTTATCTATTATTCGTTATTCGAAACTCTTTATGCAGATAATGAATTTGCTCATATCTGTGGAGAAGTTGTACCTCATTGATCATTGGTCGTTTCTTCGACGCTCGGTGCATTTAATATCCCTTCGTCGTGGACTAAATATGGAAGTTGATACTGTTTTATGGTTTGATGTTTAGCGACCTCGGAATATGAAACACAAATTATGCCAAATTCTAATCGTGAGATTGAATGATCAAGCTTTGTGATATTTACACAAGTCCATTAACACTTTGCAATCGACGACGACGGAATTACTATGGCATTCATGACGACCAAGGGTCGCGTGTGTTACGGCATTCATGATTTTATGAATGTCAAAGGACTTTTCAACATGCTTTATATGTTGATTTAATACATACGGAACTAGGCGAGACACGTAAAACTGAATTTAACAGAAAGAAAATTAGATGTGGTGGGCTTACGAGCGATTTAAGTTTCAGGAAAAGGACGCCATTAATTATTCTGGTACCTCTGAATTATTAATATTCAGGATTGCGCGGTGGTCAAGTTTCATTACTGTATAGCCACGGAAAATGTTTTAACTGGATTCGCAGTGGCCTTTCTCTTAATCGCTTTTTCTGACAACCTAGAAATTTTCATAATTATTCGATTAATAAATAATTTATGTTGGTCGTATTAGTAGTTATCAATTTAACTATGTATAAGTAACGTTCGAATACACCAGGAACTTTTTCAAAAGTAAAACTCTATGTTATAATCTAATTTTGTTTTCTTGGAATTATTTTTTAAAATGGAATCACCATTTTATGGGACATTGATCAAATAGTTTATGTATCATTTAGTTCAATTATTCCATTATGCTATCGATTTATGATGATTACATGCTGCAACGTTTAGATCAATGTAATACTACGATTAATTTGCACACCAGTGTTAACAAGACATTGTTTGCTTATTTTAATTACTAAGTTCTACCTTTTTTCGGATCGCCTTGTGCATTTATAGTTTGTCGCTTTATAAAACTAAACTGTGTATAATTATGAAATTCACGACTTGCACAAAACAAAATGAAGATTTCTATTAAAACTTTTCTAAAATATTTTACCAATATTGTTCTAATTACTTACCGTTTAATGAAAATGTTCAATGTAAAAACAGTCATTATTCTTGTATACGTTACTACTACTATTTTCTATTCCTACATTACTACTAAAATTTAACGTTAAACTATTACCATTAGGTGTCCCAATAAGTAATCCACTATATTTCGTCAAATTCAATGTGTACTTATTTTCGAAGAATTTATATAGACTAGATAGAAATTATATTTACTAGCCTATGCTGTTTCAGTGATATTTTTCCTCATTCTTCAATGTTCGCCGCCATGTTAAAAGAAGAAAGAAATGTAGGAAGATGTCTTAAATTTGAACTGTGTCACCAATTTATTAAAAAGAAATAGTAGATTACTTATTGGTATGTATAATATTTATTTAATTTAATAACAGATTTATTTTTAATCACATTTAGTGTGTGGGGAAGCAGAATGTGTTCGATTGGTGTTGGCAGCGGGTGCACGTCCATCGACGCCTGATCTTCGCGGAGGATCGCCACTTCATTATGCCGCACAATGCTGTGGTGCAGCAGCCACAGCGGAGCTGGCTGTGCCTAAAAAAGTGGGTTTGAAGGTTCTCCAAACTCTTTTGGAGTTTGGCGCCGACGTGAACGCGAAAGACGAGGATGGAAGACAGCCAATTCTATGGGCAGCAAGCGCCGGTAGTGTTGAAGCTGTCTTAGCATTAGCTAGGTAAATTTTCGTCTCATTGCACTTAAGAAAAGTAATATCTGTTTTCTGTCATTTAACGTTCATACATTCTATTGCAATATCATTTTGCTTATAATCTGCAAAGTGTTTACTTCCCACCGATTTCGATGACCTTGAAATATATTGCCAATGTCATCATTCTGAACATTTTTCCGTATACAAGTTACCATCGCTCGGCCTTAGTTTCCGAGATATTCACAAAAACATTGTTTATGCTGTCGACGCATGGTCGCCGATGTACACAGGTTGTGGCCGGGCGCGCGATACAACCAGGGGGGGGGGGTTATTCTACGTGAAAAAATGGGTCAAAAATATAGAATAACATTTTTTCATCCGACACATAGTTCTCGGGAAAATTGAATTTGAAGATTCATTTGTACGCGTATATTTGTGCTGGCATTAAGTAGAAACGGAATACAATAAACAGACATGTTAACCAAGACACCACTCAGTGTTAACGCACCCAACATTCCACCAGACAGAAGACACACGATGTGCTCTGATGTCCGACGAAGAAACTTCTTTTCTGTTTCTTTAAATATTAATGACTAAACATCTGTTTGATGGGATGTTGGGTACGTGGTTAACACGGGGTGATGTGTGGTAGGATATTGTATCATCTTGGCCAGATCTTACAAACCTTAAAATCAACGTAAGAAATATGGGAAATAGTTTTGCACATAAGTCCAAAACTAAGGCCAAACGACGGTAACATGTATAGAGAAACAATGTTCAGAATGATGACCTTAGCAATATATTTCAAGCTCATCGAAATGGGTGAGAAATATCCTTTTGAAAAATAATTCCTATTATTTTATATGTGGAAGAGAAATTTAATTACAGGAATGATTAAATATTGTTAGACCTTTTAGTCTTGATATAAACAGTATCTTAGTAATGAACTCATGAATAACAATATATTTAAAAAAATTAAAACAATTCATTTTCACTGCCACGTCTCCTAACAATATTTACTATTTAATTCATCGCATTCTAATTGGCTCCATTATACGCATGTGTTCATTTTATAACAAACTAATTTTTAAATATATTATTATTAAAATTGGCATTTAGTATCAATTTTCTACGATATACTTTGAAATTATTCTACATGCTGAAAGCAATAATTAAAATATACAGCTGATGGTTTAGTTGCAGGTGGTTCTGTAGCTACACAGTCTAATTGATTTTTAAACATACTAATATTTTCGATGAAAGTAGTATTTAGTATGAATTTTCTACGATACATTATGAAGTTATTCTACATGCTAAAAGTAATAATTAAAATATAGAGCCGGTGGTTCAGCTGCCGCAGGAGCTGCAGACAAGGACGGCCTTACGGCTCTCCACTGTGCCGCGTCCAGAGGGCACGCTAGGTGCGTGGAAGCTCTGGTTAACTTATGTGGTGCTCACCCTGACCATGTGGACGATAATGGTTGCTCGGCGTTGCATTACGCGGCTACTCTCGGTCACGCTGACGCCACGGCTTTGATCCTGAAATTAGGGGCCGATCCTAATCGGCAGGACCGAAAGGGTAGAACGTAAGTACTTTAGAGAACTGAGTTATACGAATATGCATTAGATATAGGAGACAGTCGTGGAGTACCGACCGCTCTGTTTTCTTGTTATTTCTTGGGCTAGAGTTGGTAAAAATTTAACTTAAAAACATGAGTTTGTAACACAAATGGAACTTAATACAGGAGGGAAATTAATTTTGTGAAATTCAATAATAAAAACTGAGTATCTGCATGAGTAAGAAGATTATAAATTGAAGGAAGCAAAAAAATTGTCGTCCAGTACCGAGCAGTTATTTTTGGTAAGTAGATTTTTAAGTCTAAATGATTAATAATTTCAGTATAATGACAACGATCAATACTTTCTTGCACCTAATCTTCGTCAAATGATTTCAAGTGATGCCGTCAAATTAGCACCTATTTTTCCTATACACCTTTTCCTAAAATCTTTAACTGCAGGAAAAAGATGGAAAAAGTTTGGTCAATACTGGACGACAATCGAGTGATCGGTACTGCACGACAAGCACACGACAAAGAATTATTTATTAGAATGACAATATTGCTAAACTGACAAATGTTTCTAACTTGTTGCGTCATTTAATCTGTAAAATTTATTACTTTCGTAACATATAAATATTATTTGAAAATATCTTGTTATATCCATTTATTTAATTATATTATATTTCGCGTTGGTTTGGGAATTCCTTTAATATCGTAAACTTATAGCGTATGACGAAATTGACCGTACCTACAGTGGACGTGGAATACGGGTTAAGGTAGCTCCCGCAAATTTTTAATAATTATACACTCAGTTGAAAATTGAACAGAACATTCTTGAAAGCTTCAACTTTTGATTGCTACCAAAAAATTTTATAGAACTGTAGTTGATACTTGCGAAGTTAATCACTCCTTATTTAGTTACAAAAAATAACATTTTCATAAAAAATTAGGTGGTTATAGACTTTTTTACGGGAATTACAATGATATGGAAAAAGAGAAATGTTAACGATCAAATAAAACTACAAATTAAGATCAAAGTATATCTTCCACGCATGTCTGCTATGAGCGTCAACGTCGCTTGTTTTCCTTTGGTTTGTTGGACGAACTTTTCAATTTTTACTTAAAAATTAAAAAAGAAATTAAGTTTGTTTACAATAAGGAATTAAATTTTTGTTTCTTCCACTTATTTGTAATTTTTTTTTCATTTAAGTATTTTGAAATAGTTTAAAGTATTAATCATTCAAATTAAGTTGGTAAAATTCATAAAAAGTATAAAGCGCCATATACAGCCCTAGCTAGATACGACACCAAACGTGGAAGCTACCTTAAATACGATTTAACATGTTTCAGACCAGCTTTGTGTGCAGCGGCCAAGGGTCAGCTCGAGACCTTGAAAATTCTAGCGCAACACGGTGGTTCCCTTTACGCGAGGACAGTGCGTGGTACCGGGGTCGCGCACGAGGCGGTAGCTTCCGGTAGAATTGAGCTGATAAAATGGTTGGCGAAGAAACGCCCGGGTACCTTGGACGTGGCCACGCACGACGGCAAGACACCTTTGCACGTGGCTGCACTCCACGGTCACTTGGACGCCTGTAAGGTTCTTTTGGATAACAGCGCGCGAATCAACGCCGTTCTTCGCACCAGTAAGGGCAATCTGATGACGGCTCTGGACGCTGCGCTTTATAGAGGGCACAGGGACTGCGCGAAGTTGATTCAGATGCACGGTGGGACCACAGCGCATCAGCTGAAAATGCAGAAGACTGTGCCGAATAAAGGTCAGGTTAGGTACATATACTTGTAAATATTTTTTTTAATCATTCGTCTGAACTACTTTTGTCACGTTTGAAATTTAGATTCTCAAAGTTGATACAGTTCAAAGTGTACAGGCATAAGATAAGACGAGACCAATTGAGGGTACCCTACGATTAAAACGCTCGAAAAATATGTACGTGATTTTCATGAATTTACAAACAAACAGTGGAACAACATACGGTAAAAAATCGTTTTGATCCTTATTACTACATATTTGAAAAATACAACAAAAATTATATTGTTTAAATTTTATCAATGTTTGTGTCAAACATATATATTATACATTTATAATGACCTGAATTTGGTTGTTTAACGAAGAAATCCCTATTCCCTTTATTCACAGAGTGATTCCAAATTGCTTAACTGTGCACAGTATAGTTGAGCTCCATTCATTCAACACATCGAAAGATAAGATAGTTCGTATAATAGAGTCGTTTACATAGTAAGAGCTCACAATTGTTACTTCTATCTACAATTTCTCATTTAAATATACGGAACACATACTCGCATATTTATTCATTTGTTCGAATTCGAGCTACTTAACTGACAATAGGAGACAAATAAAACTTCATTCGACTAAATAAAGCTTTTTGTGCATAAAAAATAATGACCGCAACGTTGGATAGTTGCATATTAAAAAGTTATAAGTTAGTAGCTTAGTTACAATAATAAATGAATAATTAAAAGTTTCAATTTGAATAACACTCTATCGTTCATCTAAAACCTCTAAATATCACAATGACTCTTAACTACTTTTACTCTTCTACTTATTTCTTCAAAAATTAGAATTCTTTTGAGGCTAGTGAACATTATCTACTTTCCATGAATTCTTTATTTATACTGATTGTGTCATATTGGATTTTTAACTTATACCAAATTCAGTGTTTGCAGCGAGATTGCAAATGAGGCGCGTGGACAGCAGCACTGACACTGAGAGCAGTCCTGGTAGACGAATCCGCGGTTACAAACTGCCGGATCTCTACTACGAAGAACAATGGATCGAGAAAAGAACACGACGAAGGGGGAACCTGAAGAAATTAGTTCGTCGGGACAGTCGCAGCTTCAGCGAAGAGGAAGTTAGATTGTCGAAAACGTCCTCGAAGAAGGACCACCAAAGGAGAGCTCGGAGTGAATCGGCACGGTAACAAGTTTCCTCGTTTGCGATAGTGTCTGTTAAAACTCAGAAATACAATATTAAACCGCTCTGCGAAATTTAATATGTCAGTATTTAATTCACCACATTAGTTTTCTTAAGTTGAAACCAAAGTTATTATATAATAAAAACATATTTATAATTATTTACAAATAAAGTTATTATTAATAGAGTTTCAGTTATTAAAAATTTTGCATATTTTTCAACATTGTAGCCTTTTTACAATTGCAAACAATTAAACTTTACAAAATGCACTCCACATTTTTTAAAATATATTTATGTGCTTACTAAATGTTATACGATTTTACAAAATGTTCAAAACTGAATTTATAATTAATAGTACTACCATCTTGCTGCGTATAAAAATTGCAATAGTCAGAAAATAATATAAATTATGGAATGTCAAATTGTGAAAAAAAAGTCGTTATCCAATTTTAATTTAATAATAAATCATAGGTCCATATGGTACTTCTATTTTACTAATTTTGTCGATAGTAATTTTTATCTGGCATACACGTAACAAACAATTTATTTCTTGACGATGAAATTTTTGTGAACGTTACTTTAAGAAGCATCTAATAGTTGAAACACTTTAATTTTAATTTTATTTCTAATCGCCCTAATGTTTTAGATATGACGAAGACGATACGGATCAAAAGTTGAGGAGAAGAAGAAGTAAAAAGCGATCATCGAAATCTAAATACGATTCTAGCGAGTCTACGTTAGATTCAGATAGTTGCGAGCCAGCGGAGGATTGGTCGAGACACAAAGCCGAGTCACGAAAGGACGACAGTAAAACGGACAAAAGCAACGGTACCGAAGACAGGGAGGAATCAAAAAAGGAGGAGGACGAGGAAAGCGTGAGCGACGACAGTCTGGAAGTAGTAGTGGTAAAAAGATCCCTGGAAAAGAAATGTGAGAAAGTGGTATCTGGAAGAACATCGAAAACGCCCAGGGAAAGTTCGAAGGAGACGAAATTTACGAAAACGCATAGAAGCACAAGAAGAAAATTGAAGTCGAGTCGGTCGAAAACTTCTACTAATGGAGATAGTACGACCGATCGAATGCAATCATCTGATAAAGGACAGAAGGAGTCTGAGGTTCGCGAACGTAGCACGCCGAGGACTTCGATCGACGAGGATAAGGAGATCCGAGAAAAGGTAATTGAAAGTCGATATCGAAAGGATATAACTGACAGCACAAGCCAAGAAACTGTGGAACGTGTGGTAGTGACAGCCATGGTACATAAGGATCAAGCACCGGACACACCTAAATCGATACTGGAAATTTCGAAGGAAGTCACTTTTGATGATCGATTAAGGACAGAGGTGATTGAGACGGAAGATGTGTCCAGGGATGCTAGTTCCAGCGCGCACAAAGTGGATGATATCGTGGAGCAAACTGGTGTATCTGGTAGCAATCTTGTGACGAAGGCAGCTAGTTTGAAGAAAGGCGTGGAAGAAATGAGGCAACAAGTCACGCAGGAGAAGACACAACGTGAAGGTGATAGAAGGCGAAGTAGGGATGAAGGAGCTAAAGGGGAGGCGCAAGAGAAGAAGGATCGGAGACGAAGTTTGGGTGAAAGGGATGCAAAAGACGATTGCAGTGCAAGTGATGCTAGAAATGAAGGAGATGAAAAGGATAAATCGTCTACTGAAAAGAAGGAAAAAGAGGGACAGGATGGTGAAGATGCGAGAGGTAAGACTAAACAGAATAGTAATTTCTTCAGTATACAGGGTAAGTATTAGATCATTTCTGTTTGTCGTTATATTCATCTCCTGGGTTAATACTATTTTTTTTCTATCTCGAAATACCGTAATATTATTTAAATATTCAGTTTCTTTTGACTCACCTTGTGTAAAGTAATTGGGAACAAAAACTTTGATCGAATGTTTTAACAATCATGCAGAACACGAAATATTATATGAACGTGCATCCTATAATTGATATTTAAGTAGGTCCATCTGCATTTAATTCAAGGAATATATTCTGCTAATATAAATTTTTGTATTTTTAATTAATTGATGGTCACTTTATTACAAACCTGTGTTCTGTTATAATAGCAGTGGAATATTTTACCGTTATAACTAATGCAACACTAATAAACGTACACAAACTGATACACACAAGTTTGGAAAGTAGCACATGGTTTGTTTGATTTGACTTTTTACTCACAATCAGAATCTTCTGTCAAATAATCTGTTAAAATTTGTTACAGTTTTTTTTAATCACTTTGCATAATACTTCAGTTATTAATGAAAAATATCGCCATTAAATAATATACTTAAATTAGTGGAACATTGGAGTGACCCTCCAAACTAGAATCAAATTAATTGTTTAAGCTGTCCATTAGCTTCTTGATAGCTATATGTTAATTTTGATTGAAATACCATTATTCTATTTCAGGGGTCAGCAAACTGCGGGTACTTACATCTGGTTCTGAAGTACAATTTGAAATGAAAATAAAATCAATGAGAGCCCTTTTTTGTGTCCTTTTTGCTTCATTTAATAAAGACATAATTAATATTATAATTTATTATAATGTTACTTTAAATTTTCCATCTTTATAAAAATATATGTATTTATGGCTCTCAAATAATTTTTAAATTGTTATAAGGGACAGGTTTGGCTCTTCCGCCTCAAAAGTTTACCGACCGCTGTTCTATTTCATTGCATACCAGAATTATTTATAATAGATAAATATACATATATTTATGTTAACTAATACTAAGAAATCGTATAGATAATTACATACTTATTTCTCATAACATCTTACATATACAAGTATATATTCAAAAAAACATTAGAAGTAGCACTAGATGTACATTAAAGTAGCTGCTGATTTATAAAAAATTAAAAAATACAATTGTACCCTGACATAAAATAAAGGTTTGCATACACAGAAAAGAATTTTTGCCATGCCCTTTGTGCATTAGATAAATATCTTCTTCTCCGTTAATTCAACAGATTGTAGGATAATAAGAAAATAGGAATGATTGTTTCATTGAATTTGCTTTAATATGAACCCTAAACATTTCAATAAAAGTAAGACAAATGAAGATTTTATAATTGTACAAAAACATTGTTAGGCTATAATATTTAGGAATATTAAATCAACTACGACACAATAAATGAATGCATAGTTGGATATTAATGTAAGATGAACTATGTAGAAACATATGTATAACAGTCTGTTAATTACTAACTTTAATTTTGCTAGTAACATTCAATTCTTCATTTATTGCTTTTTAAATTATAATATTTTAAGGAACTTCTCTATAAACTTTCTGTAGAGTCTTCCTTCTAGACAGGTTAGACGCACACACGACGACCGAGACGGAAAGTCGCACGCAGGACTCCCAGAAGGACGATCGCCGTACGCAAACTCAACAGGAAAACGATCTCACATCCAAGTCCGAAGGAACAACGCCGAAATCTCACGAAACTCCCAACAAAGAGTCCTCAAACGAAAAAACAGACGCATCTGACCGTTCTAAAGAAGAACCAGAAGAATCAGAGGAGACGAGCAAATCCAATAGTCTGAAGGATCAAGGAGATTCTTACAAAGATGATTCAACTCCAAGAACGGTTGTAGAAGACATTCTACCGTCAGAGGAAGAGGAAAAGAAATCAACGCCAGTTGAGACCGGGGGTAAATCAAAAAGTAGACAAGACAGTGTCAAAAGGAAGCCTTCGATCGACGAAAGAAAATTGAAGTCATCTTCGAGGCAATTGGACGGAAGCGCCAGTCCTCATAAGAGCAGTCGTAAACGAAGAGAATTCAGTAAAAAACAAGAATCATCCACGAAGAAGATTCTTCTAAAGTCATCGTCAGAGAAAAGAAGTCAAGACTTTGTGAAGGGGACTTCGGAGTTACAGAAAGCTGAGAATGAGACTGCTGAATCTCCGACAAAAGTGACACAAGGTATTTCGATAGAGGGTTCGAGCAAGGATTCACCAGACGACAAGGACCAAGCAGATTCCGCACGTGGCAAGTCGGTAGATATTTCATCGGCTTCGCGAGATTCTGCGTTAATGGAAGAAATGGACGATCGATCGTTAAGCGTTGATACACCAGTTGCTACGAAAAGAAAGCTGTCTAGCGAGGAAGAAGCTGCTCTGGAGTCGTCGCTAACGAAGACTAATGTGGAGGACCAGACTGAAGAAACTGATGATGCGAAGAAGAGTAAGAAACGTTCTGTCGAAGACGCGTTAACCGTGGGTGAGTACTGAAACATCATCCATAAGTGTATTAGGTCGTTTCCTGTAGTATATTGGTATTATTTATTTATTATCTTTATCTCCAACATTCTTTTATTATCTGCTTTATGTAATTAAGTGTCATTCTACATGCTAAAATAAAGTGAAAATCAAGAATGACGAAATTGCGTTAAAGGCTTCGTTTCCGAATTATTAGTTGCCGAAAATACTGGGGAAAAACGTCTAACGCGAACGGTTAGACTACTATGGGCGCACGTTGGCCAGATGATTCAGGAGCTCAGCCGGTAAGTATCAGTGTCGTAGCTCCACGTAAGACCCACTACCTCGTAGTCGATGTGGTGACATAGGGCTCCAGGGGATATAACAATAGTTTATTTCATAACTTTATCAAAAACTTAAGACTAATTGTTGCATGACATTAAATCTGCTTAGTCACTGAAATCCACAAGGACCTATCAAAATCCCATAGGATGGTTTTTGATAAGTCCTCGTGGATTTAAGCGACTAAGCAGATTTAATCTCATACAACGATTCGTCTTCAGTGTTGTATGAAGTTTTAGAAAAAAATATTGTATTACCGTCTGGCTTTGTATATTACCACTTCGTCTATGAGGTAAGTGGGTCCTTATAGGTTGGAACGGCACTGTCTGTGCCCATGAATGTCTCATTGTGAGTTACACGTGCTCACAGTAGTCAGACACCTTTCACCAGTATTTTCGACGCTTAATAACTCAGAACCGAAGCCTTTAACGCAATTTCGTTAATCTTAATCTTCGTCTTAGTTTGAAATGTAGAAACACCACTTAACATTTCTGATACCTATTATCGACCACCCTGTACAATATTTGAAAATAAATGCGATAACAATATGTACCTAGAAACTAGTGAGCTATTATGGAAAATATAAATCTCTTACGCAAAATGAAGACATTACACAAGATTCGACCTGTAAATGTTACGTTATTTATGAAAACTTACCGAAGAATGTTTTCTAGAAGAAGGAAACTTTCGGTACATAGACGAAAGTTCCTCAAGTTCACCGAAATCGGCTCAAATGAGACGATCAAGACCATCCACGGGAAAGGCCAGAGTCAGCGGAAGATCGTCTTCAAGAGCATCCACGAAAAAGAGTTTATTTGAGAGCTCGGAAGAACGGTCTCCCGACAGGAGCGCCATAGTCGCGGTCATCGAGAGTCCGGAGTGGGACGAAGAGGACGAAGAGATCGCAAAGGAGATCAGGGACGCGATTGGGGATGACGATGAACATGAGACGGAGCCGGAAGAAGACAATGAAATCGGAGTTGTGAGAGTACTACCGAGTACGAGCGAGGAGGAAACGTCACGGACGGGTCCTGATGGCAGGACTACAGTCACCCACACTTTACCTCAAGTAAGTGAATTTCAAAAAGTATAGTAGAAACCTTATATTGAACGATTCTGTTATCTGAACAGTAACGTTCTTTTCTACAGGCTGTAACAAACATGTTGGAGGACTCAGAAATAGAAGACTCGTGAGGTGATTTGAAACAAGTTTTTCCTTAGCAAAAATGTTATCTGAGGCTTTGTTAACGAGATATTAACGAAAAACCCAATTACAGCGCGTAGCCAACGCTACTGCGGGAGCTCGATCGGCAGGTTTGCGCTCTGATTGGTCGGAGTTTTTCGTTAATATCTCGTTAACAAAGCCTCAGATAACATTTTTGCTAAGGAAAAACTTGTTTCAAATATACCTCACGAGTCCCATTTCTGGGTCCTCCAACATTTTTATTACACCCTGTATAATTGGATAAGTTGCATGCTACTGCTCAAAAGTTTGAACTCGCTAGCTGATTTCCTTAAAAATGAAATTACCCGATACTGTTTCGAATTTTCTAATTTTTGTGAATATAATTATTCATAATCATTTGAGAACATTGATTTAGCGAAGGGGAGACAAGAAGGATACTTCTGAAGTGCTAGAAATTAGCCCAAAGACTATTAAGAAACTGGTAGGAAGACTACTGTGAATAGTTGAAGCTGATGAATCGCATTTTAGGATTGCTTTTAATCAATAATTCTAATAACAGTTAATAGTGACATAGATTCATTCACGTACTGTCGAAATAACAATTAAATGTAAAAAAATATATACATGTTCTTTGTAGGTATGTATCCTCATTGTTTTTATTTTTAACATACTTTCGTAATACGTTTGGATTAATTTTGAAATGAAATTCTAATGTATTTGTAAAATGTCGTATTTTTAATTATCTTACAGTTAATACGTGTATTTAACTTTACCGATTTATATTGTTCAGGTCGATGCCTTCCATAAAGCGGAAATGATATTCGTACTTTAGTACGTAATTCGGTCAAATTAAAATAACAGCCTTCCGTGAACAAATTTGTGAGTCGCTATGTATGATCGCTATAATATCCATCGTGCTACCAAGAGCTTACGTCTGATGGAATCTGTTATTAGTACACACTCATTTTACAAATCTACCAAGTGGCCAAATACAGTAATGTCTCGATGAGTGCTATGTACTTGGGTCCGCTTCGAAGCATTCATGGCAAAGCGGAAAGGTTTTCAGCCCCTAATAAATTTGTTTTTTACCGGAAGCCGAGCCTCTGCTTAGCTTCTGTTTATTCTGTTGCTCGTGTCGCATTTAGCGAGGAATCACTGTATAATACTTATGAGCAGTTGCGTACACGTCGGTAAAATCGGTTATTTCGTTGCAACAACCTAATAACAACTGATTAATGTCTCAAGTGATTAATATGTCATATTATTGTATCCCTTGTTAATATAAATACTATTGTGCTATCAAATGATTAATCTCCAATATATAATTAGGTGAAATCCAGCACTCGTACCCGTTTGACAAGAATTCAAAGCCCTCAAGAAAGTATAAGCAATCGGCTGCAAGGAAAGCAACGTCATGACAGCGGCGGTAGAGACAGTGGCATCGAACCCAGTCCGAGGGTATCGCGGATACCAAGAAGAAGAATCATGAAATGCTGTCCTAACACCGACAAACAGCAAGCTCTGAATATGGAAACCATAACGAGAGACGTGCAGATCAGCTTACGACGATATCACCTGGAAAGGAAAATTTTTTTCCAATTAATGGAACTGAAGAGATTGCAAATCCGACATGGCAGAGCGAACGAGCATGTTCTGGTTAAAAGACAGGTAAATAACTGCTCTTGACTACCTTATCATTATCCCTATCTACCCATTTTGCGACAAGATAAAATTACTAAATCGCAGGTTTTATGCATTTGTAGCACATCCGATTGTTTGAAATTTGGATATTAAAATGTTCAATAAATTTCAATACCATTTTTATTTTATTTAACATTTGGTAGAACCTTTAATTCATTAAACCAATTTCTGTTTGTTCTTACTTTACATATATAAATCTTTTCATTTTTGCATAAAGATCCGCAGTCCCTAGATTATAATAGAAATTAGAAGGTCGAGAAGTCACAATTATAGAAAGGGAATAATCTATTTGTAAAATGTCGTATTTTTAATTATCTTACAGTTAATACATGTATTTAACTTTACCGACTTATATTGTTCAGGTCGATGCCTTCCATAAAGCGGGAATGTCTGGACCTACTCTCGGCGTGGCGAAATACGACCAACCCTTAACCTTCAGGTTATTACTTTTCAAATTCACGTTCTGTCAATGACGATCATATAGAGTAGAACTGAACTGCTATCGCAAAATATGCAAGAGCGTCATATAACAAAACTAACAAATTGGTTTTAGTAAATGTACGTCTACTGCTTAACGTATTATTTTAACTATTATAATTCATTTTCAATGTGGCCTCCATTAGGAACTATAAAATCAATGCGATATATCATTGATTGCACTTGTTCAACAAAATTTAGAAAATTCTATTATGATGAAGTGAAACTGGTTTTATTTACTTGATTTTGAATCGCTGAATATAATGGCAATCTCACGTTTAACTCTATACGTAAGGATTTTTTTTAATTTAATTGTAAATGTGAAGTTGTAAAGAACATGTATTATATAGGATGTCCCTAAAATTGTGATACAATCGGCCGAGTGGTGATTTCACCTGCAAAAATAAGTCGAAAAAAAAAGAATAACATTTTTTCGTTTAAGGTTTCGTTTTCAAGATAATCGCATTTGAAAATCTACTGGATACGCATTTAATTGAATCGTATTTGGCCTGCACGTCTTTCCATTACATTCTGTTTCTACTTACTACCGCGGTTCAGGTTAATGAAACAAAATGAATAGCGCTAACTTTGTATCAAAAAAGCTAAACTTTATGACGTGTAAAAAAAACCAGATTAAGTTCCATTATATTTGAACGTGTTGAACAGTGTTAACTATATATTTTTTTTGCATCATAGACATTCAGTTTTTCTATTACAAATTTGTGAGCATTTCACACAGATTTAAAAGTTTAAATGACTTGAAATCTTCCACCATAGAACACTTACAAATTTTGTAATACTAGTGTAGAGTCGCTTTATGTTTTTATAAAAATAAAAAAAAAGAATCTAACAAATATTTTTTGTTAGACACTTCGAATCCTTTCTGTACGATCAACTAAGGAAACTCCAAAGAAGGCCAGCTACTCCAGACTTCTGCACAGAAGCGAAACAGTGTACCCAGAAAACTCACCGCTGTCATCACGCGACAAGTGCTTACACTTCTTTTCCCGTGTATACATATCGTACGTGATCACAGTATGTTATTGGAAAAATAAATTTCAGAGCTCCACTTCCACTGTTCTCGAATTCCTTTATAAAACAGTCGTTTGATTTGCCTTTGAAAGATTTATCGCTTTAAACGCGCATATTTCTTCTCTTTTCCTGCAGTCAGTTTTGATAGTATGGAAGTGGAGTACTGAATGAAAGAATTGGATACAGATGATTTTCTGAAGGAGTCAGTTACCCTATTGTGATTGTAGATTATAATTGCAGTAGGTGGAGGCGGCCAAGAACCAGCGGATCTTCTTCCGAAGATAGAGAGCCGTGGAAAGGGACAAATGACGGTAACATTCAATTAACTAAAAATAAAATTACAAACCCACAGGACATAAAAGACTTGACGTTAACATGTCAAGTGCACACATTTTAAAAACTGAAGTGCACATGGGGGACAGACGATTCCACGTGATTTAAGACACGAAATATCTCCCAAATTTATGGACATTTTAAAAAAAGTTGTAGAAGCATTTTTTGAAATTTAAGGTTTGTACTTTCACGTAGAATAGTTGAGATTAAAGATACAATAAATTAAAGTAATAATAAGAAGAGTTTAAAGTGAGCATGTTTTCAAAAATTAAAGTTCAGATCAAACTTGGTACTGGGGTTTTTTATCCCCCCGATGCACTTGAAGTGATAAAATATATTCACACATTTTCAATTTTTCTAATACTATATTAATGTATGTAGTTTTAAGTGGTACACAATACAGAGTGTAAATGTCACTTTACTTGCCATTTTTTCAAGATATTGTAAGATATTGTAATTTTAAAGAAATCTATCAAATTTATCCATTAAATTTATGAATATATATTTTTGTTTTATTATTAGTACTGTGACATAGTTATACGGTAATGAATCCTCTCCAACAACCTATGTAAAGAATATTTATTGTCGATTGATAAACATATTGCACCGCCGCAAGACAAATGTCACAAGTCGAAAACATGTAATTTTTCAAGAGATCGAAAAGAAACTGATTCATTGCGTAGCATTATATTATTATAATAAATAAAATGATACTAGTGCCATCTCGCCTGAAGTATTGGTCAACTTACTTCTCTAGATGGTGGATCTATATGTGTATTAGAAGATACTTGACGCAATATGTAATATAAAAATTGAACATTTTTGACTTGTGACACTTTTCTTGTGGTGGTGTGATACAAAAACCTTACGAAAATTAATATCATCATTTTTCAAAGGTGGAGGTAACGCACGGAGAAGAAAAGCAGATAATAGCTCTTCCGGCTGAAAGACTGGACCGTACGAAGAAATATTACGTGACGTTCACTGTCAAAGGGGAAGCACACGAAACGGAGAAACCTAAATCATCGGTCGGTATCCAAAGAAATGCCAAAAGCGTTTGAAAAGTCTTCGAATAACCGCGCCTTCCCTATTCATCGACTAAAAATATCGATTAACACGTTGACTGCCATGGTGGTCATCCATGATGAACGACGCCATCTTTTTCAATGGCGTACTGACGCTCGCTAACCACCAGTGCTACCAAATTTTTCATAAAGCTCGTAACAGCTCAATTTCTTTAAATGAAAAATGAAAAATAACGTATATAACTAAGCAACATTTTAAAGCAGTGTTGTCCAACTTGGCGGTCAGGAGAGGCCCCTCACGCGCCTACTTCCCCTTCCAATCTTTCTTTCGCACTGTGTCCGTTCGTAGACAAAGAAGCTCAGACAGCATTGCTGTTAAGTAAAAACTGTGCTATTCAACAATTATTAATTCCTGTTTTTATTATTACGTGACTTTATTAAGACTTGATCGAAAATCTTTCCACAACATTGTTACTTTATTCGTTGCATTTTTGTGTCACTTTCTATAAAAAATGCATGAAGATTTATCATTGATATTCTCATAATACATATTACATAATATTTCATCATAGCATGATACGAATATTATGCTACTGGTGATTTTTTTGTCACAATACAAGGACACAATGTTCACTTGGTAGTCAACGTGTTAAAATCATGCGAAAGACGTTTCTATCCTTTTCTACATGATACGCAATTCTAACGCCATTGTAATTACACCGTACATCGAACTGCGTTTCGACCTTTCTACCGAGTTTATAAATTAGGTTCAAAACTGTATGTTACTTTTTGTCTTGCACGATAATGCGTTTCGCCACTGTAAAGCCCTGAAAAATTGTCATTTTTTTGGTAATTTTTTTTCAGTGAACGAAATGTTCACCATAAACGAAGTATTGTCCATTTATTAATACACTTATTGAGAGTATAAACAAATATTTTGTAAAAATTATGTCTTGCTGACAAAGGTGAATCCGGGAGAACAAAGTACCAGAATAAAAAAATTCAAACTGATTTTTAATCACTATGAGTGTCGTTATCGTCGGAACCAACATTATTTTTCCCGCTAAACAGTAAATAAAATGGTGAAGATTTGAAGCTCCAATTTCGAAATTATGTGAATTTTTTTAGTCACTTTGCATTGTAAAAATTATGAAAATTATTGATCAAAAAAGGTTTTCGTGATCCTTGTACAAATTTCAGACTGAATGACAAGTAGTTTGTTTGCAATCATCTACTCCAGCACTACGTACATAATTTTTTCAAGGCACTTACTTCAGTGCGATTTATATACATAAAAAAAAACTATTAACACTTTCAAAAAAATGTTGTATACTCTCAATAAGTATATTAATAAATAGACAACACTTCATTTGTGTTGAACATTTTGTCCACTAAAAAAATTCTCATAAAATAACAATTTTTCAGTGCTTCACAGTGACAAGGTCCCTTAAAACAAAACAAAAACACAAAACTGCCAGAGAAAAGATCATGTATAAATTTAAATTAAATATCGAATCGAATATTCTGTATAAATTTCATCGAAGGCGTTGTAAAAATGTTATATAGCATGAAAATATTCCATCTCTAATTGATTAGTGTAAATAATGATCATATCGACGCATTTCAAGAATAAAATTTCTATATCATTGAACTACAAAAATTTACCAATGATCAACGAAAGAACTACAATTTTGTATAATAATTTAGATTGGCTCAATTGAAGTCCGATTAAAAATGGTTGATATTTCTTGTAGAATGTATACTATCTGTCGACACTTTCGTGACCGATGATATAATCCTGGGTTTTCTTAGCCGAAGACGTAGGATTAAATGAGTCGTTCATTTGCCAAAGTGATTTGCCAATTCCACGAAAGTTCCAAAATATAAAAGTCGGTACTAAAATTTGAAAAAATTCAAAAAGTGGAGTTGGTCAATTCAGACTGTGAACAACTCAAATTTTTATTACATTGCAATTATTATACATATATGTATATGTATGTATGGTGTCATGCAACTGATGGTACAATCGGATAGGGGGTGATTCTACGTGAAAAAATAAGTTGAAAATATAAAACAAAATGTTTTGCATTGAGACTTCGTTTTCGAGAAAATTGATTTTGAAGATTACATAATCCGAAACGCATGTGTTCGTCACGGTAGTAAGCAGACACGGAAAGCATACATCAGACGCGCGCTAGTCAAATCCTATTCAATTGCACGCGTATCCAGCAGATTATCAAATTCAATTATCACGAAAACGAAGTTTCAGATGAAAAATTTTATTCTATAATTTCGACTTATTTTTTCACGTAGAATTACCTCTTACGCGGTTATAGTACCAGTTATATGACACCCCGTATATACAAACAAATAATCCTGTATTTTTAAAAGAAACTAGTAACATAATTCAATTTTAAAACATCCACCCTTTTTCTTCCATTCCCAAAATGGCGGAAAGTGTCGGAGAACAAGGACGGGCATTACCTATTGATGCAGCACAAACTTTTTATTTCAGGAAAAATAAACACTAAAACATAATTACTCATTAGTCCACTTAATACAAATTCTGACGACAAATAGGATTATATGTTCTTTTTTAATCATACAGAACTGGTAAAATGAATTTTTAATCGAATTTTTCTTACTTTCGTGTTTGTCATTTATGGCCTTTTCATTTATACCTGTTATGCTTTCCGGTCTTTTCCGACCCAGTCATGTTCTCATTTCTTCAAAAGTAGTTTTATAGTTGAGAAAAGTGTAAGTTTATTACGAATGTGTATGTTTCTCATTCTTCATCATTATTTCTAATGTATTATATGTACTATATGTATGTATATCTGAACTAAGGACCCCAGCCACTTACAGACATGTCATAGAATTACCGGTTGCGAAAGTGTTAAGAGAAATTAGGAATTGTTACATCCGTTGATGTCTGTCAGGAAGACTTACGAGTTTGCTGTACTTATAAAGTATGGAACATTTCGTTCTTGCAAACGCGCAAAGACCATATGATAATTAATGGGTACATGTTCTGTATATTTGTGTAAAGGGAACCGCTGCAAATGATGTGTATGTAATTCTGTGTAAAATAAAACATTATAACACGTATAATATGAATTTTGTTCTTTAAATTATAATAATGAAATCAATTAATTCCATTATAATAATGTAATCAATCCATTTTTAAAATCCATTTCTACTAAACCATTTGTAAAATCAATTTATTTATGTTAATGAACACTTTTGAAAACAAGAACATTTGTATAAAAATTCATAATAATATTTCCAGTGACATAAATTTGTATGAGGAATTATTCATTGAAAATGTTAAAACTAAAAGTTGAATACCATGAATGTCATGTTTGTTTAGATACTTGTATGTATTACAAGTACAAAATATTTATACACATGCATGCTTTTTTAAATAATTTTCTGGACTCATAGCGTACATTACAAGAACTTACAACTACTGTACTTTATCCTAATTGTGGTAATCCTTCGAACAATGTATATTTTACTATTGTATACTGTTTAATCTGTTCAATATAAAGATAATAAAAAAACCTGTTAGTACAGATATTTCTTTCATCCATTATACATAAATAAGGCAACATTAATATGATTATTAAGAATAAGATGTTCTAAATCCAAACAGCTCACCCGTAAATAATGTCTGCTAAGAGACTACAGATGTTCAATGTTTATAATCAAAGCTATTGAAGCTCCTGTTGCATGCATAATCTAACAAATATCTTAATAGAAGAAATATATCTTTGATTAATTTCACTTCTTTCAAATTAATCTATAAAAATGTAAATTCGTATAAACATCCGCAGACTAATAATAATTAGTAGTTACTGATACCTAGTGCACTCTTCAATTTCTGCTTCGAGCAAAACAACATATCAAACACAATTCTTTTATAACGAACTGCTCGGTACTTCAATATAAATCTTCACACAATGTAACATTTTAACAAACAAATCCAAAGGAAGTTTCAATGAAAATTTACAAAAACTATTAAATTAATAATATATCAGACATGGATATGAACAGGTTATAAAAATGGCTGAATACCACCCAATTCGCCGTCTCTTTCCCACTGTCTAAAACTTGAATAACGAAAAATTTGCACATTTTTACTAAAATGTTACAAACCAATAGATGAATACAATTATTTCCGACTGGCTAGGCCACTACATACTAGAACTATCGATCAGCTCCGTGACGTAGTTAAACAAATGGTCGAGAACGCCTAATCGTTTCGATTCCACTGGTGAAACATGGGTGCTGGTAGTATTACGACTAACACAGCCCGGTCTGTCAATAATGCCGTCACGTCAGACGCGATCAACGAGAGTCAGAGTGAAGTTCTCAACGATGCATCCTGAATTGTACACCGTCGCGAAAACGAAATTCCTGTGAGAGGCCTTCGCATGGACAAATGGTTCCAAGATAGAAAACTCTGGCTCTTCGGTAGCACACTACCGCTGCTGCCAAGGTAAACACTGAGTCTTTTGCCGAATACAGTGGATAAAACAAGTAATTTCTTCGCTAAATAAATTCTTATATTTTCAATAAAATAAACGCAACAAAACAATTTGTTCACGTATGGAGATCTGCCACAGCAAATATGTTCAACGATACGAAAAACGTATAATAATAAAAGCACATTCTTCGAAAACTTCCTACAATTGTAGAGTAAAGAACAGAGGTTTTTAGAACACGATCTACAAATTTATATTATTTTTGAAAAAAAGCGGATTTGCGACAGTTTTTCTTGCACGTGAACATCTCAATGAAAAACTCTTCTAGTGTTTAATTGAACAGAATTTATAAAGTGAATTTATTGAATGTAAAAGTTATTATTAATATGAACAAAGTTTAATATTTTCCTTTAAGTCGATTGTAAAATTGAGAATTTATTTAGGTGTCCACAGTGCTGAATAACGATAATGAGAGTATTATTGTTATTTACAACTTATTATACATGCAGTGTGTACTACAATTATTTAAATTTTATAGTGGTTATTAACTATACTTTAAAAGGGCTGATGATAAAATAATATGTTGCGAATAAATTTAATATTCAATCCTGAACGTCATTTTTGTTAATTTCACAAAGTCTTATTTTTTGTTTCTGTTATTTAAAAAATATTGGACTTGGAAAGATTAATTTAAACATTTGAACTGGTATAGACCGTTAACCTCAAAGTTACTGTTAAGGAACCTATACCCTTGGAATTTATCTCATCCGAATGTTGGTGTAATTTCGATACAACTTTTGTTCTATTCACTTCTTAAACTCTGAATCTCATTTTTTAATTTTAATTTAGTTGCTTAATTATTTGTTCTCTCAGTGTTCAACATTGTTTAAACGTAAGAAAAACGGCGTGAAGATAGCAACTAAATAAAAGTGAAACAAAACTTCAGAAGTTGATTCTTTCCAGAAGACGTGACTTTGACATTGAAACGAATCGATCGATCGCTCTTACATTGTACATATTATCACGCAAGCTGCAACGTATACATACATTAAACGTCATAGATGAACTAACTCAGGTTACTACGTCAACAAGAAGGGAGATATTGTACCTGTGCGATTTAATACAAGCAAATTTTTATCATAACTGAACAGTTTCATTCAAGATTTTTATTTAGTAGCAAATTGAACTATTTCGTAGCTGTTCGGTGTACACATCCGAATTGTTGCAGCTAGCAATAGAATAACAACCACGTTAGAATACTATTAATAACAACAATAACAAATGTATTGAAGTATACACGGAAATTCAAATAATTTTGGAATATAGAAAAATTACAGAAATTGAATCGAGAAAAATGATAGAGTATTCTATTTACAATTAGTAAAAATTGTATTTTAACCTTACTTACGATTAGTTTCTATGTAGATATAGCGGTTCTATGCGACGAAATTACGTTCTTTTGTACGTGAGTATGTGTACTTTCACATCGATCGATTTTTCTGATGTAACTGTCAAGATAAGGTGATCGCAGAATGAATTATTTACGATGCATTTCACATTTATTATCTGAAATCTACTTCATTGTGAGAAAACGGTGAACCTCAACATTATGTACCACCAACTTCAATACAAATTGACATACAGGAAAGTATCACATCAATTCCGTCCATCTCAAATGTCTCCATTGTTTCAAGTACTAGTTAAAAGTTTTAGTTACAAAAGTTGTACAGTTGCAACAAAAACATAACATGATGGCAATAGTTTCTTTGCAGGTAGAGACATAGAGGAGACCTAGAGGTCAATTTTGTTTTCTTAAACGGAATGTCCAATTTTTTATAGTCAGATTGAAAACAATTTCAGATTCATAGTATTATAATATTAAGTTGCAACGCATGAAATTACCATTTCTATAGATCGAAACAGAAACGCTTACTTTTGAACAAATAATTTTTATTCAATCGGCATATGCATCACGATTAATAGCTTTCTTCAAACGACATTATCTGATACGTTCAGATTTTATAAAAATTGATGTTTTCAGATTGTATGAATTATCACACCCTGATATTTCCGATTCTCGATTAGGGAATATTTTGTTTCTTAGAAGGACACCCAATAATACAGAAAGTAATCCTTTGTTGGGGAAACATTTAGCAAATGTTGTGACTAACGCGAATCTATTTAAATTTAATGTAATTTCAAGAATCTAAATTCATATTGCAAAAGTATTCGAAACTTTGGTATTATATAGTTTACTTACGTAGAATAGTTAAACAATCGTAATAAGAACTCAATATTTAAAAGAGATAGAAAAAACACAACAATGTTATAATTTCTGCCTAGCCAAAAAAAAACAATGTAAATCACACTTAATTAAATAATCGCCGTTGATTATATTATCAGTTATTCGAATATCGACTATTTCATGTTGTACAACCGAATACTAAGGTACATTTATATTAAAACTCATCGTTTCTTAGATGTTCTACTTGGCAAGTATTTCATGACTAACATAGAATAATTTCAATGATTTTTTAATATGTTGTTGGGGACATGATTCTGAACGAGTTTTTCCTCAATACAAAACTCATGTTTAAGGGACTAACCTTCGATGACCTTGACCTCGACATATGTTGTTACGGTCACCCTCACTGATCTTCAGAATGTTTTAGCCATCGATCGTTGTTTGTTAAAAAGTTATTAACGAAAAAATTTGTCCGTAGGGTGTAACATAAATGTTGTCCGACCCGGAAATGGGGCACTCGGGGGGTGAATTGGAACAACTTTTCCCTTAGCAACAATGTAATCTGAAGCTTCGTTACCGAGATATTAACGAAAAACCGCGACCAATCAGAGCGCGAGTTGGCCAGCAGAGTTCCCGCGCTAGCGGTGGCTTCGCGCTACGCTTGTACTACGAAGCTCCGAACAAGTAGGTCAGCATGCATCGCAGGAAACTGCGTATAATAGCAAATAAAAAAGACGTAACAAATAAAATCATACTTTTTATCATCTGTCGTTTTTTATTTAAAGACATTAATGAATGAAACGTACATGTAGGCAAATTATGTGTAACGTAAAAAGACGAATGCACATTTACTTTTTTGTAAATTCCTTTTTACGAATTTATTAAAAAGTAACTGTGCATTCGTCTTTTTACGTTACACATAATTTGCCTACATTTATGCTTCATTCAGTAATCTCTTTAAATAACAAACGTCACATGATTAAAAGTATGATTTTATTTGTTACGTCTTTATTTGCTATTATACGCAGTTTCCTGCGATGCTTGCTGACCTACTTGTTCGAAGCATCATAGTACAAGTACAGCGCGTATCCACCGCTAGCGCGGGAACTCGGCTGGCAAACTCGCGCTCTGATTGGTCGGGGTTTTTCGTTAATATCTCGATAGCGAAGCCTCAGATTACACTGTTGCTAAGGAAAAAGTTGTTCCAATTCACCCCCCGAGTGCCATTTCGAGGTCGGACAACATTTATGTTACACCCTGTAACGTGTATACGTGCTGGCTATAAGTGGAAACCATAATGCAATGATCAGACACGTTAGCCAAGTCACCACCCAGTCCCACCACACACCACCCAGTGTTATCCACGAACTCAAAACAAGAATGTGGTACCGACATTTTTTGGGAATATCTCGGAAACTAGTGTTGTCTGTCGATTATACAAGGTGTATCAGATAACTTGATCACTTCGAACAATAACTTCAAGGTACACTTCATGCAAATTTTGAAACATGGAATTTAAATGGCATCAAGGGGCACATCTTATAAGGTACGTGTTTTTTTGTGGGTGGAGGCATTTCAGAGATTTCAAGGTCACCTTGATTTTTTTTAACGGAATGGGGTGTGAAATTCTGAATAAAAATGTGTTGCCCTTCATACGTCCTAAATTTAATAATTAACGAAATATTTACAAAATAATCGCTCTATTGAAATTTTTGTATTGAAGTTAGGGGCATCAGTTCGACCACCTATAGCTTCCAGATAGTAAGTACGTATTAAAAATTATTTTGCAAATATGTCGTTAACTATTAGGTTTAGGACATATGAAGGTTAACACATTTTTACTCGGAATTTGATACTTTAACGACCTATGGTACAAAAAATACATCATTCCGTTAAAAAAATCAAGGTAACTTTGAAATCTCTGATACCTTGTGTGATGTGCCCCTTGATGCCATTTAAGTTCCACGCCCCCAAATTTTCGTAAAGTGTATCGTTAAGTCATTATTCAAGGTGATCGAGTGAGCTGAGACACCCTGTATGTAAGGAAAAAGTTGTTCAGAATCTTGTCCCCAACAACACATTGCAAAATCATTCAAATCATTCGATGTTGATATATTAAATCATCCCCTTTTATTTTACCAATCCTATTACTTTCACTACGAAACATACATGTTCGACACCATACTTGTTAGTTTCGCGTGGAGCGGTCGATGCTCAAGGAATCTCAAAATGTCGACCATCTGCACCAATATAATGTTGTAGTCTATGAACCGTTGAATCCCTTGCATGTCTTATCGTCTCCATACATGGTATTATTTCGGGACCTCCAAGTGCCAACTATACAAGGCAGGAATAGGTAGGCTGTAGAATAGGTAGGAGATTCTTTACCACGAAAATGCTTAGTCTTACCTTTGTCGGCTCGACGGTGATAAAGAACGAAAACATGGCTGAAAATGACTGAGGACGAATGGAAAGGTTGACTAATTCCAAGGAGAACTCCTTGAGTGGAGATAGCAGTTTGTTCAAAATTATTTTAGAAATAAAAATTCTGTTTTTTGACAAATATAAGGTTGGTGGGTAATACAGTGCCTAGCTCATAAACTTGGTCACAGAAGGGTGACATATTTATTTTGATCAAATTACATGTTCTGTGAACCTCTTTTAAAGATTACAAAAAAATTATCACAAAGGGATGATAAAAGTGAATATAATGAATACAAATAAATATAAATTGTACAACACTTTTTACACTTAACTAATCTTTTGATA